ATGAAGCGGTATCATGATCAAAGAATTGAAAAGCGAGAATTTGTTGTGGGTGATCTTTTGCTTCTATTCAACTCTAGGTTGCGCTTGTTTCCAGGCAAACTCAAGTCCAAATGGACTGGGCCATTTTTGCTCACAAAAGTGCTCCCCCATGGAGCGGTTGAGCTTGAGAACAGTGACAGATCAAGGTTTATGGTTAACGGTCAAAGGATCAAGATCTATCTGGGAAACACAGAAAGTGTGCAAGAAGTTGTGGAGGCCTATCATCTTGATGAAGTCTGAGTAATCAAGAGGCCTGCGTCGTGCCGCGACGTTAATCAAGCGCTGCTTGGGAAGCAACCCAAGATGTACAATCTAGCCAACGATAGGTTTTTGTTTTCCATCTAGCAGTTTTCTGTTTTTAGTTGATTCTCTGTATTAATTTAGATAGATGTTTTAGTTTTTTTAGTGTTGGCTAGAATTAGCATAGGGTTCGTGTCTAAAAAGTGTCCAGAAAATGTAAAAAGAATAGCCTAATGGTTGCTACAAGTGTAGGTACGCTATGAAAAATCTGCAGAAAATCGTCTCGTGCAGAGGTCTACAGACCCCATCGACGGTCCGTCGATCCATCCACGGACCGTGGATGGTGTCCATATATCCCAGGTAAGCCCCTAAACTTTTCCAAGTATAAGAGTGATCTACGGTCCCAATCTACGGACCGTAGATTGACCCACGGACCGTAGACATGGTCTCATGTGTCCAAAACCCTAATGCTGCCTGACCTGACCCGTACCCCTCCTATTTAAAATCCCCCAATTTTAAATCATTCCACTTCCCTCCATTTACTCCCAAACCGTTTCATAACTTCCCAAACTCCTTAAATCACTCCATCACTCCCCAATTAATCTTCCCTTCCTTTTCCCCAAAATCCTAAATTCCCTTTCCTCTCCAACCTCTACTCATCCCAGAAATTTCCCAATCCCTCTCAACTGCCTTATTCAAAACTCCGGTGTTCGGGTTCGGCGCAACTAGGCATTTAGTGTGGTCTAGCAAATTTTAGTGTCATCACGGAATCACCCCACTCCTCGTTGCTTGTAAGGTAATAGACTTTCCTCTCACTTTGAATTTTGGTTCATAGATTGAATAGAGAAAGTCGGGAGTCGGGTCTTGACCTTGGGTAATTAAGTTTATGTTATTACATGCTAAAATTTAAGTACTAAAACCCTTGGGACGATAGATTGTGATTATGTCGCCTTGATAGTGTGTTAAACCTGTCTTAGTGCTAGTCTATATGTAAGTTTTGACTTAAGGTTCCGAATCTTGTATGAAATAATTATCAAATTGAGTAATTAGAACCCTTAGAATGGTGAACTAGCATGATTAAATGTTGAAATGCATGGTTAGACTAGGATGCTGTTGAAAATGGTAAAACATGTGGGCTTGAAAATAAAGAATGGCTGAAACCTGGCACAAATCACATCCACGATACCCCGTCTACGGACCATAGATCAATCTACGAACCGTAGATCAATCTACGGACCGTAGATTAGGTTCTTGGTTGGATGCCCTTGAAAATTTCACCAAGTCTGAAACCACGGATATGGACTACAGTCTGTAGATCAATCTACGGACCGTTCTGCACATCCGTGGTTTCCATCTGCGACCAATATTGTTGGTGCTCTAACCAACGGAAGGGTTCCACGGACTGTAGATCAGTCTACGGACCGTAGGTCCCCACCGTGGATGACCACTGTAGCCACTGTTTGAATTTTTTGGGGTCTTTGTTGCTATTTATTTTTAGTTCTAAATTTTTTCGAGTGTGTTTGTAGTTAGTTTTGGCACTAATAAAGCTTCCACAGGTACGATGGCACCCAATAAGCTAGTCACCTATACAAAACAGGGCAAGTCAAAATCTGTTGCTCATAGCTTCAGGTTAATCGATGAAGACACGGACACCGAAAAGGATCCAGTATATGTTCCACCAGCCACGAGGACATACCCTACAGCACCTCGGGCTACCCAGAATACGTCCCAGCAGGTGGTCACCGACGTAGTCACTATCTCCAGTCTGATAAGGAGAACACACTGATCGGGTCACCGGCTGGTTCTGCTTCTGGTTCCGAGGCTAGTTCTACGTCCAGCTCTGAATCTTCCCATGCTTCGGGCTCTGAATCCAGCCATGCTACGGGGTCTGAATCTGCCCATGCTTCGGGGTCCAATGCTAAATCAACCACAGGGTTCGGCCAGAATGAACAAGCAACCTCGTCTGATGAGGCCACTAGCTCAGAGTCAGTACCAGCACCAAGAAATGAGGATCCTACTCTAGTGGCCGGTGAGCCAAACAGATGGTGTGTTGAGGGCCAGTGGCAAATTTATCGGGATGCCAAGATGAAAAATGACAAAGAGAAGATGGCCCAACTTATTACAGAGGAGCGCAGAGTCCTCACGGGGAGCTTGCACACTGTCCCTGACATCCACCGGCTTTTTAACCTTCACAAGTGTGACTGGATAGCTCGAGACCCAGGGACTTATAGCGAGGAGATTGTGCGGGAGTTCTACGCCTCCTATGTTGCAACTCTTCGTGGTTCGATCTCCAAGCATTTAAAGCCCATAGCCCAAGATCCTCTCACTTCCACTATGGTCCGAGGTTTCCCGGTGGACATATCACATGCCACCATCAACTGCTTTCTCTATGGTCCTACCATGGGTAACTCGTGGTCACTAAACACAGCGCAGATTGATTACATATGGGACATCGTGGGGAGCGGCGCTTTCCAGAGGAATGCTGAGCAGCGAGAGGATGTTATACTATGGTTGGCTAAATACATTGCTGCAGATGGCGAGCGTGCGGAGTGGGTCTCCACACCACAGTTGGTTATCCGAAAGGCCACATTAAATTTTGTGGCCAATTTCTTCTGGTTGTTGGTGTGTAACAGGGTGTCTCCTACAAAAGCTGACAACCAACTCACATGAGACAGAGTAGTCATGGTTGCAGCTTTAGTAGCAGGATTGGAAATTGACTTTGCCCGCATGCTGCTGACAGAGATTCATGAGAGGGCATTCAAGACCTCCACTACTTACCCCTTTCCATGTTCGATTTTTCAATTGTGCAGGGACTCTGGAGTGCCGATCTGGCACTGTTATAGGTTGATCCACCATACAGGGGTTTTGGATATAGGCCTCATTCGAGATAAAGCAAATGTGGCGGCACTTCGCAGAGAGCCCCAGGTTGAGGTACCTCCATTGGGCGCAGATCTTGCAGACACAGTGGCGGCAGGCACAGGGTGGTGACCCCATTATACCAAATCACACCGATACTGTCCCGACTTCCTCTTCCCAGGCCACTAGTAGGGCCCCTAGCTCATCCCGGTCCACACCACCATTAGGAGCTGTTGTTGTTCCGTTGGCTAGAGTACAGAAATTAAAGGCTCAGATGGCTACACTGCTGCATCACATCCAGCCTTGGATGCAAAAGTCGATAGTCGATTCCGAGGCCAGAATGGAGTGAAGGATGGAGGGCATGATGGACTGAAAGATCCGGGCCGTTAATAAGCATCTCGATGCCTTTGAATTGAGAGTCCTCGAGCGACCAGCCCCGACCGTAGATCTATCCTCTTTTCAGACTGAGTTAGCCAGTCTCTCGGCCAACGTTGATGCCATTCTTTCCACCCCTACAGTTAACCCTCACGCTGCACCTACTGCGTTGGCTGATGATACGGTGCTGAATGCTTTATTCAGTGGGATTGCGGAGGAGGGGCCTGACCCTACACATACCAAAGGTAAGAGACACCGTTCTAGTCGCACTGAAGAGAAAAAAGCCCAAAAGAGACAGCGTAGGCAGGAGAATGAGGCTAGGAAGGCTTCAATTTTAAATGAAGAGTTGCGCTAGCAGAGGGTGCGTGAGAGTGTTGCAGGGGCATCGAGTTTTGCCCCAGTTGTAGAGGTCCCGCCTGTTGTGAGGGATGTTGTGAGCACCACTGATGGTGTGGTTAGAGTGACCAAGAGCACTACTGAGGGTGACCCAAGTATGGTCCCAGCGGGCTCTGGGAAACCGGACCCACCTTCTTGTTCATGATTCTTCGGCGCTATGCGCCACAAGTTTGCTTTACCCAATCCATTATCTTTTACTGTTTTTGTATACATTGGGGACAATCACATCTATTTTTGTTGGGGTGGGGTAAATGGATTGTGACTGATAGGGTGAAGTCTGAGTAACCCAACTCATAAATCCTCTCTTGGGGTTTTCTTGCCTGTGTTCTTTTTCCCCAAGAGACTGTTTATTCTATTGAACCGACATGTGTTAGGATCTTATGTGTAGAAGCATGAAAAAGAATGAAGCATGATGGCTAGAAAAAAAATGATACCCGTCCAAATATTGTGATGTGTGCTAGAATTGGTAGGCTAAGACAAGTTGAATGCGTTGGCTCTGAGTATGACATGATAATGAATCAACTTGATGGCATGACTTAAGCTGAAACTTGAATTGGGTAATCTGATCATCTGGTAATGAAACTATGTGCCAATAGTGTGTGAGAATAGTTAATTGTTCAAACAGTTTTTGTGCAAAACTAGAACTTGCCCGGTTAGTCCTGCTAAGACAATTCACTCTAGAGGCTAGGAAATGATCATAGGCCCATGTTCTGATAAGTCCACAAATTGCCTAAAAGAAGGATCCAACCAAATGAAATAAATTTTCCCTTTGATGCAAATGCTTTGAGCCTAAAATTAGACCATTTCTTTCTAAACCCCGAACTCACCTTCCCATAATCGACTATGTTGGCCCCGGTCCCTCCTTGGACATGTGCACCTCGACTTAGACCAAAAGCCTAAGTTGAGGGTGGCTAATGTAAAATGTAACTTCAATCTTGGCCCTGACTCGACATCGGGGTATTGTGCACCTCAACCAATGGAAAATCCATAAGTTGAGGGCGGCTATGATAGAGAAAACCAAAAGAAAAATGGGTATGAAAAGAGTTTGATGTTGAAAAAAGAGAGGAAAGGATGTGACTTGTTGAAAGCTAAAGCAAAGAATAAAATGCAAGAAAAAGTTGGAAAAAAAATAAAAATAAAAATAAAGAGCTACAAAGTCTAAAGTCACAACCATGGTTGAACAAGATCAAGGGAAAGAAGGTAAAACAGTAGGATGGTAAAAATAGGGCAAAAAGAGGTTGAAAGCCTAGTGTAATGTCAAGGAGAGCAGAAAGTCACTAAGAAGTACCCAAATGTACTACACCTGACCATTGAGCCTACGTTACAAGCCAAGAAAGTCCTATAGTGAGCCTAAAATCTAGTTTGGAGAGTCTAAGCAGTGAAAATAAGGGCAAGCCTATGGTACTGAGCACTAACTGTACTTGAAGTTATTTTTGAGTATGAGTGTTGAATGAATCCTTGTACTCAAATTCATAAGTCATTGTGTGAAAGAAAAGGGATTTTGTTTGAAGTAAGAGAACTAGTTACATTGTTGGAAAGTTGGTACCTTGGTGATAGTGAAACAGTGTATGTTATGTGTTGGTTGGTCGATCGTTGCCATGGTTTGATCCGCATGAATTAGCTTGTCGAGTCTAAGAGAACAAAGTTGTACCCGAAAAGAGAGTGGGGTGGAGAGCCATGTGATTGCTTGTGCTTGAAATGCTTGCTTCTATACAAGTGTCGTTTAGAGTCATAGTGAGTCGCTTGAGGACAAACAACGAATTTAAGTTGAGGGTGTTGATATACCGTGAGTTTACGGTATTTCTAATACATTTCACTTACAAGTTGTGTGTGTCTAGGGCCTTTTTATATTGGTTTTTATGTGTTTTATCATATTTTGCAAGAAAGATGTTCAGGCGCGAAAGTAAAGAGACAACTGAAAGAAATGCAGAAAAGGGCATCTACGGAGGTGATCTACGGACCGTAGGTCCATTGACGCTCCGTAGGTGGTGGTCGTAGATCAGCAGGCAAGGCATGGAAGGCAAATCAGGGAAATCTGACCAAGTGTGGAACCACGGTGGCCATTGACGGTCCGTAGAATGATCTACAGACCGTACTGTTGATTCGTAAATTGACACTACGAGGGTTCCAGTACCTGATTTTTGAAGATTCTAAGTGTGGAGCTACGGAGAGGGATTGACGGACCGTAGATCGATCTACGGTCCGTACTGCAGTTCCGTCGTTTGCTTCAGAGAAGCTGATTTTTGGAAGCTGAAATATTTTCTAAGTCCTGGCTGACGGAAGGGACTCACGGACCGTAGATCCATTGACGGTCCGTGAGTCAATCTCGTGGAATGAAGACGCGTGCCTGAACAAACTTTTCTTATTTTGTTCCCTTTTAATTTAGGACTTGTTATCTATAAATAGGGCATGTAAACCTCGTTTTTGGGGTTGGATTTTATTACTTTTATTCTAGTTCTTGACTTGGGAGAATAACTTGCAACTTTAGCAATTATTAATTTTTAAGATCGTTTTGAAGATTTTGGAGTTGCAATTCAAGTTGAATTTCTGAGTTTATTATTCTTCTTACGTAAGTTTATAATTCTTTTATCTAAAACAATGAATTGTGTTCATATGATTATGGGTAACTAAAACTCCACAACTAGGGTTGTGGGAACCATAAGCGATTAACAAAGTATGAATAGTAAATAAGCAATTCTTGAATAGTGTGGTGCATGCATTGATAATTCTTTGTTTAAAAGTCTTTTTAGCGGTTGCAAACGTTAAAACTCACCTTGTTGCTACTTGCCGGACCAAGGAGGTAATCAACAACAAAAGAATTATCAACATAGATTTAGTGTGATACTATCTAATAGGCTAGTGTCGATTGGTGCGAAGTAATAACTAAACCAAA